AAAATGTTCCAAATTTGAACCAATCCCCCTTCATACTTCTTAGTCCGATATCTTTGAGATGTCCTTACCATTTGAATTCCTTGAAGATAATTTTTCCTTGATTTCTATCGAGAGTATTCTTAGGTAACTTCAGTTATCTAAGATGTAATTAACTATAGGGGCTTGCCCCTATAGGAAGCTTTTCCCGAACCCAGCATAATATAAACCCTATTTAATTCCTTATAATAAATAGGAGAATTTGTCGGCCAATATATTGGTTCCGCAGATCAAACGGATGTCATGACTTTCTCTAGTTTATTTGATCGAGCCTCACCCTCAATTCTTGTATTCATCCTTTGGGATAGATACAGAATTTGAGGTAAAGTGCTCTTCTATTTAAACTATGAAAATTATGGGGTCAGTTTGACTTCATCTTTTTCAAAACTAAATTTTTTTTAACGTCCTTCCGAAGCGGGCAACGGGATTTCAATTCCGATGACCGACAGCTTCTTACGGGCAAACTCCACACCAAAAATAGTGCCGACAAGGCCTAACTGGTTGTTCTACTAAACATAGGCTTTGTTTAGCCAGTTAGGTGCACTCGAGCTTGCTCAAACTAGTTAGGCGAGCCATAAAAGATCAAAGTGAATAAATCAACTCCATGATTAGGTTAAGGTTAAGGGGTTTGAGTTAGGAAGTTGCCTAATTGAGTAGTGGTCCTGCTATTGGACTAGATAGTTAAGAGAAAAGGCCTGATTTGACTCAGCCTAAACCCCCTGGGTGCACCTAACCTACTCTAGTTTGTTAGGCTCCTCATAAGTAATAGAGAGGTAAAGAAATCAACCCATAAATTGTTTAGGCTAAGTTCCTTTGAAGGTTCAATTTAGCTTTATTATATTAGTTTTAGTTTTAAGTTTCAATTTGTTTTAAATCTAGTTTTTATTTATTTTGGTTATTTTAGGCCTTAGTCAAGATTGGGCTCAGTTTAAGTTTTGATTAGGCTTAATTAACTTTTAGTCTAAATTTAATTCTATATTGGATTTAGATATAATTTGGGTTTGGATTAAGCATTTTTTGAATTTAGTTTAATTTTTAAACTTAAGTTTGCTTTCCACTTAGTAACATTTTAAATTTAGTTTAATTAAGTTAAATGGTGTTTATTTAGTTGTGGTTATAACATATTTTGTATTGAGTCGGGTTATTGGCTTGAATTACTTTGACTTTAAACTTATATTATATTATATTAGGCTTGAGGTTTACTTAAGATTGCATTGCGTTAGATTTTAGCTTAGGTTTAAGTATTGTTTGATTTGGGTGTAATTTAGGTTTGATCTTTTGTTGTGTCGCTTTTATTTTAAAATTGAATTATATTACATTATATTTAGGATTCCCTTCCAATTGAAGTAAGTTAATTTGCACTCAATTTAACCTAGGTTAAATTAAGTTAACTTGGATTTATTTTACGTTTGGTTTAACTTAATTTGTTTTCACTTTAAATTTAGTTATAATTAGGTTAAGATTTGTCCTTAGATTAATTTAAACTTTGATTAAGTTAGTTCAAGATTCAACTTACTCTTAAGTTTTGACTGGGCTTTGGATTAAATTCAGGTTAGGCTTACATTTAGTTTGAATTTAAGATTTTGTGTTTAAGTTAAGTTTTATTTTAGTTTAGATTTAGTTTTAAAATTGGATCAAGCTTAATTAAACATTAGGTTTAATTTGAGACAAACAAATGCTATAGAAACCCATGTGTTGAGCTACATTGGACTCAACTTGGGCTTGGGCTTCCCAAGTTCCAAAGTAAACTTATTATTGGACATCCAATCGTACAAGATGAGCTAGGATCCAATTAAAGTCCATTTGGGACCATAGAGATGAGATTGGTCTAGTTAGACCAAGACCATGAGTCTTTTAGTAGTGATGGGAAGTAGTCTTAAACATAGGAAAGAAAGGTGAGTGACCTAATTGGAATATGTTGACTAAAAGTGAGGTTAACAAGACTTTAGAAGTCCCAATTAATTGACCAATTACCGGCTGAGAATCATCATATATTTCAAATTTTTATATTCATTTGAATGGAAATCATAAGCTTCAAGATTAAAGCCTTGTATTACTCATCGTTATTCATTCGTGACTTTGACAATCTATATCAACAGTGAAAATATAACCCTTGAGGGATGCTAAGATGAGGCTGACATGCACCTTTATTTTTTTAATAGGTTCAGATGGGTCTTCTCTTAATGAGGAAGCCTTGTAAAAAAACTCCCATTTTTTAGAATCAACCATTAGTATATTTTTATCCAACAAACTATCGTTAAAGTTAAGCTAGTCAGTAATGGATGAGATGTAAAAAAATTAACCAAATTCTGTCCATTGTGTGATACCAAGTTGGAGCAATATTATATCCCATTTGGTTAAGCGTCCAACTACAACAGAATAAGTCATCAAGTACTACCGTCGGTTCATCCTTTAGATCAAATATGCAAAATGTATACTTTTGTTATAACTACCATATGAAATTAAAATTTTTTAAGACCATTCAACATATAAATTAGATGACAATATAAAATAATACATATTTTCATTGAAAAAGAGAGCAAGTTCATATTTTGCTGCAATTATATTAAGGGAATTAATGCCATGCATTATGCTCCATTAAAATATCCATCACATCTTGATTTAAAATAATTTTTTTTATCCATTTTTGCAATTATGTATAAATATATATGAGATATATAGATAAAACACTTAATAGAATCTTCAATAATTTACTTTATTTTTTAGGAAAAGTCCAAACAAATTGCCTATCTTATTTTCATTCTCTCCATGTAACACAATATTAGTATAATTTAGCTTTAAGAGAATTATTTTTGAACAATAAATATAAAAAATATAACTATTTTATTTAAGAGAATTTTTTTTAAACAAGAGATATGAAAGATTATGATCCAATTTGAGCAAGGTTTGGACCATGTTTGATTATGATTAGTAAACTTCAGAGAAGATTTGAATAATTTAACAAAAAGTCTTGAACTATGTTTGGATCATACTCCATTAAGCTCCACACATTGGTCAAATATTGGTCAGACAAATAATTTGGATCCGCTATCTCATTTTATATAAAATCCCTATCAAAATGACCTCAATTTATTTGTCCAAATAAACTATAAAATCATATATGCAGTTAATTAAATCATTTGTTGAAAAACTTAATAAAACATTTAAAAATTAACACTGGGCAGCCAAAGCTAGGATAAACTACTTTATTAAATTGAATGTCACTGACATCCATCCTGTCCCGTTATAATAAGAAATTTAGAATAAAAAAACCATAAGATTGAAAAAGAAGAATGACTTTAATTGTATGAAGGAGTTGAGAAAGCACAAGTTTATAATGCACAACTTAATGTTTTAAATGGGATGTGCTTTGACCCATATATAGACGTATTAAGAGTAATACGATCTTAAATAAAATTTCTTCAATATTTTTTCAGATAAAAAATATAACGTATCTACTTGTCTAATATTGAGCAGTATGAGACATTTAGAGTTATATATTTTATTTTAATTTTTATCTATTCTTAAAATAATATAATAGTTTGTCATTTAAAATTAAATTTGAATATTAAAAATTGCAAAAAAATTGAATTTGATTTTAGTAAAATAATGTCAATTTTAACTCAAGAGCTATTAGTTTTAGGATAACTTTTATTTTTTTAATTTAAATAAAATATATTTGCTATGTTAAAATACAAAAAAAGTTATTCTTAAAATACTCAAAATATTTAAAAATTATTTAGAGTGATTTAAAAAAAAAATAATCTATATCCTTAAATTGTTTTAAAAATACAAAAATACATATTTTTGAAAATTAAAACTGAAGTAAAAAAAAAAGGACACAAAAGACCCATACTTACTTTTGAGTCCAACTTTAATTAATTATTTATAAAATTCTTAGTAGTGTCATAAAAATGTAAAAATATGTTAAAAAGGTATATGCATAAATATGTAAATTTTACTATATATAATCGTATGAATACTATTTACGGCCTTTATTTTTTTATTCTCCGCGGGTTACCATATGCGTCTAAACCTCTTTTTTCAAGTACTATAAAGTATAAAATGCCTGCCACTGAGAAAACGTGCTACTGCCTTCCTCTTCTCGTCGCATCAACGTGGGAAGGCTTCCATCTTTGCTGATGCCTCTTACAGTCGAATTCGCCTTTCGCTCCATAGCTTCCTCCATGGTTGCATTACCCCAATCTAGGGTTTTTGGCATAGGTCTCCCCTGTGCTCAGTTGGCCCCCCACTTTGGGATCGTCAAGTCTTCGCTGATCTCCCGTGGATTTGCTACCTCTAAGTGGGGGTTCTCCGAGAACATCAGGGGGTGAGCTCGATTTCAGTGCCTAGTATTTATTTCAGTTATTTAATAAGTACTTTAGAGAGAATATAGAGATTCCTTTGGTTGCTTACTGTGATGTTCGATTGCTCCGTTGATTTATGTGTTCTAGAGGAATCTCTAATGGGACTAGTTCCGCCATGCATGGTTCGGTTAATTCAGCCTTGATTCCAGGAAATTATGTCTGTTTTAATTCGTGCTTTTCCATTATTTTCTCATTTTGATTCGTGATGATAGTACTTTCTTCATTGGCATTGGAGTAATGCTGTATTTGCTATTGCTTACAGAGAGAGAGAGAGGGAAAAAAAAAGAATGGGACTGTTCTTGATCATTATCAGAAATTTAATTCGATTAAGACTGAACTTGATGCAAATTGTTAGTAATCATAGCAGCACGGTATTCAAATCAGAACTTACAGAGTGGACGTGGGGACTGCATCAACAACGGATGTAGAGATTTTAGGGATGGAGTTGCATGGGTGGATGCTGTAATGACTTCATGAAGGATGAGGTTATGAGCGTTAAGTTTTGAATTCACCCAAATGTGGGCAAATTTCAAATTCATAAAAAAATCATTTAAAGATATTTAAATTCCTTACGAAAACATTTTTTATCTAGTTTACTTTATTTCAAAGACCAAAAAACTTAAGACCCGTGTATTTCTTTTACTTTACTATCTTAACATCTCAAACAAACAACTATTAGGGGGTTATGGTGATTATTTTAGCGATTTAGCTGAGAAAAATTTTCAATAGGATTTTAGAGGATTTTAGAGACTAAGACTATGTCTAATGATCGAAGAAAAAATATTTTGGAATTAATATTATGTCTATTGATTCAAGATTGTGTGGATTATAGATGAATCAAACTCATAAGCTATACAATGAAACTATAGGAGAAAGTAATGAAATACAGAAATAAAAAATTCTATTAGTTTTGGAGAACACTTAATGCCAAAATGATCAACCGTGAAAGTAATTTATGTATGAAGATAATTAATGAAGTATAAAGTACATTGAGAAGATATGAATCTTGATATGACTTTTATTGATCTCGGAAAGACATGATAGTGTATTACATGATTCGATTTAGAATGGTATATAATATAAATGTCTATTAAAGATATGCTAATATTATAAAATATATGTACAATAGAATACTACTAGCATTAGAAGTAGCTGCAGAGGTGCCTCAAGCATGTTCAATTGTTGTTGGTTTGCATCAAATATCATTATTGAGTCAATATTTTATTATATTAGTTATTGAGATGCTTATGAAGGTTATTCAAAATAAGGTACATTGACGTCTTTTTTTCTTCAGTTTGTGATATAGCTCTGACGAGGAAGACATCCACCAAAAGAAATGAAAAAACTAAAACATTGGAAGAAATGTTTAGCATATGCAGGCCTTAGGTATAAAAAATTGAGCATGGAATATTAAATTTAAATATGTATGATATTAACAATTGTCATTTAATATTATTAGAAGATATGATAATACTTGGGTGTGATATGTTTAATTATCGTGTGCCCATTCTGCAGAAAAACAAAGATACAGAGGATGAATTAACATCTGAAGTTAAGACCAGTAATTAAAATTGAGAAATGTACCAGCAGTGTTATGTAACAAAATGTTATCACAGAGGTGAGAAGAAAATTTTATACTATTGCAATTACTCCATTGATGTTGCATGGATTTAAGTTTCGGGATGTAAAAAAGCTATTTACATATATGTTAATTGCTATAGAAATAATAATGCTAATATATATGCATGATAAAATCAGGAAGAATTAATTAAGAAATGATTATATTAGTGGAAAACATTGAAGTGACATGTATGCTAATTAGTTGGTTGAAAATAAACCTACGTTATTTGGACATGTGTAAGAAAGAGTTGAAAATTGACCCATTAAATGAACTGTTTAGGACTTAAAATAGGCATACTTAAATGCTATCTTGATTAAAATTGTTCGAAATAATTTGCAAAGAATAAGTTTAACACTCATTTTTAAAATATGTTTTGTGGATTTTAATTGAAGATTATGCCCAACAAACACATTCTATAGATCCTCATGATTCAACAGAAGATAATAATTGTTTAAAATAATTTGCAAAGAATAAGTTTAACACTAATTTTAAAAAGCTTCTTTGTGAATTTTAATTGCAGATTGCAACACATTCTATAGATCCATATGTTTCAGTGAAAGATTAAAAAAATAATCTTTATCAGTGATTACCCCAAAATAATAGATGCGCAAAATAAGATTTTATTTTATTTCAGGGATTAATGGTTTCTCATGGGAACAAATCTTTATAGTTAATCACATTCTGAATACAAGTACTTGATAATATTATTAATTAAGGTTTTGGATTAGTATTGTCCAAAAATTATTAGTTCTTAGCTTGCAAGGACTGAAATGCAGTGATTCGAAGGAAACACTGCAAATTTATTCTAAAGTTGGTTGCGGGGCATATAATCATAAGAGATTAAGGACTCTCATACACAAGAATAGAATTTTTTTAAAATCACATTGAGTAAAAGCAAAATGTGATTAACATTTTAGGGTTTGTTTATTTAGTTTGATATGATTTGTTTTTGAATATTTTTACAATTCTATAATAATTTAATGGACGAAGTAAGCGAAATGTCCAAAGATGGGGCCTACAAAACCGCGACATGATAAAAACTTCAAACTTAATTCTATTTGAGGGTTTTTTGCTCTACACTGTCATGAGAGAGTTGCTCGAGGCGGGTTTTACAATACAATTTGGTACTTCCCTTAATAGGTTGTTGCAATTTTGTGGTCATACAAAATAAGATTTTGTTTTATTTCAGGGATTAATGGTTTCTCATAGGAGCAAACCTTTATAGTTAATCACATCCTGAATACAAGTACTAGATAATATTATTAATTAAGGTTTTGGATTAGTATTGTCCAAAATTATTAGTTCTTAGCTTGCAAGGACTAAAATGCAGCGGTTCAAAGGAAACACTGCAAATTTATTCTAAAGTTGGTTGTAGGGCATATAACCCTAGGAGATAAAGGATTCTCATACACATGTATAGAAATTTTTTAAATTCACATAGAGTAAAAGCAAAATGTGATTTACATTTCAGGGTTTGTATGTTTAGTTTGATATGATTTATTTTTGAATAGTTTTACAATTCTATAAGAATTTAATGAACAAAGTAAGTGAAACGTCCAAAGACGGGACTTACAAAACCGTGGCATGATAAACACTTCAAACTTAAATCTATTTGAGAGTTTTTTGCTCTACATTGTCATGAGAGAGTTGCTCAAGGTGGATTTTACAATACAATTTCACACTTCCCTTAATATGTTGGTGCAAGTTTGTGGTTATCTAAGATTATCCTTTTCTAATTTCTGGAGGAAGGCTCACAGCTTGAACCATTAGAGATCAAAATTCTTAAACTATTTGGTCTTACATTTACCTTGGAAGAGTAAAAAAAAACTACCCTAAGTGCTTTGAAAACCTTATGTTTACATTGGTCTCATTGCAAGATTTGCTACCTATTATTTATGAAAATAGTTTTTACAACAACGATAAGGCATTGTCCACATATACGCATATGCAAGTTTAGATGCTCAGGTTTATGCAATTTTATTTATTATTCAGCCTTAATGTGATTCTAACTTTATGCCAATTGGCAAGGCTTTCATACATTATAAATTGCCTAGGCTATGCAGCTATGCCAGTAACCATGTTCCTGGGATAATTTACCCAATAGTAATGCACCATATTTGTTTTATAGCCTTAAAAACATTTTGTTACTTTGATGAAAATGATGATTAAATTTGAAAAAAAATGACAGAATGATCAATCTAATTTAATCTTGAAAAAGTTTTTGATTGATTTTTGTTGAATTTGATTCTGAAATTCAAATTTTGTATTGAGAGCCTATTTTTAGAGCTCTAGTTCATTATAAAATAATTAATTTTGAAAGCTATAATCACATAATTGCATTGAAATTTAAACATTACAAAGCATGTCGTACTTTTACTCGGTGACTATTTTTTAGTTATGTTTTGCAATTCACACTCATACACTGAATTATGCAGCTTGGTTTTTCTTAATATGAAAATACATTCTAATCTTAGAGTCATGCAAGCGATGGCCAATGCTATTCAATCTTGTTCCACCTGCATATATACAAGATATACTGATACTAGAGAAGGGGGCTTCAAGTAGATTCAACACGAGCAACCAAGAAAGGAGGTAGAATAAAAACCAAAACAAAAACAAGACACACCAATCAAATAAAAGATACAACATACAAGAGTTTCCTACTATTGCAATCGATCGGGATACAAAAATCGCCACTCGAAGGATTGAAGAAGGAATGAGACTCGGGATGTTACCACCAATAAAGGAGGGATACAGTTGTCACCACCCAATGCTGTGGATGCATACTCGTCTCCATCCAAGAACCACAAAGAGAGCACAAACTCTCACAAAACTCAATTGAACCAAAATCCTCTCAATTAGGTTTTGCATACACTATTTATACTAATAATTAAGCTACGTAATTAGGAGAAAAGGAAAGTAAATAAGAGTCCATCAGACCTATTACAACAAATAAAAGCCAAGAAATCCCTATTGGGACTGGAATCCCATTCGAGACAACCCTCGCAATCGCGAAGTCTTGCAATTATGGAATCCCGCTACGTGACTTCGCCTCTCCTTTCGCGTTTGCTTCCTTGCCCGCCTTTGCATCTCATGGCAGCCTCAGTGTCCCACATCATTCTATCAGTATTGGTGGAGCTTCAAACTCATTTGTTGAAGTTTTTACTCCTTATGATGCCATCATGTCGGCCACATTGAAGGCGGTGGAGTTGCTGCAACCTCCTAGATGAGGTCTAGGGCTGTGGCTGGGAGGAAGGGAAGGAGGAAGGCTGTTGGTGGGGTTGACGTATGAACTATAGTAGGAAGGCCAGCGACAGGGAAGGAAGGTGGGGCTGGTAGCGA